CACCTCAGGTTAGAGCTGGTTTGGTTATTGGCGAAGCTTATGGACTCCATTCCCTCACTCACAGATTAAGAAACATCCATGGCACTCAACCCCAACTTCTTATTGTCTCCCCTAAGCCATCCCTGATGAGCATACGACACAAGTGAAAATCAGTGTCCTTGCCAGACAAAACAAGATTTCTAGCTTCCCCTTCCACCAGACTGTGTCCTAGCCCCTCCAGTGGAGAAATTCTGGCACCAACAGTGCCTCTAAGGCCCCAGGCATTCAGATATCAACTCTCCGGGGGGGCACATCCATAGAAACTCAAGACATTTGTCACATGAACTTTGTCATTACGTTTTATGCTCAGGTGCCAATCTCATCTCCTGGTTCTTGACTGAAAACAATTACAATGGTAATGACCCAGGAGAGGCAGAGAGAACCTCTGAATGGGGCAGCCAGGAACTCTTCTTGGGTTAGGTGGTATTTAACTTGGGTCTTGATATTTAGGAAGATTCTCAACACATGATGACGAGAAAGGAAGAGGTTAGTTTAAGGGAACAGCATGAACAAAAGCAAGGAGGTGAAACTTTGGCTGATTGACAGAGTAAGTGCAATGGAGCAGTAGAGGTAAGGCTGGAAAGACAGCTTGAAAACTGATCATAGAGAGTCTTGAATGTCAGCTAAGAAGTTACCTGGATGCATAGGAGAGATACGGTAATAATCAGAAAAGGGGCGCCTGACTGGCTCAGTCAGAAGAGCATGTGAGGGCACCTGGGTGGCTCAGTTGGTTAAGCGACTGCCTTCGGCTCAGGTCATGATCCTGGAGTCCCAGGATCGAGTCCCGCATCGGGCTCCCTGCTCAGCAGGGAGTCTGCTTCTCCCTCTGACCCTCCCCCCTCTCATGTGCTCTCTCTCTCTCTCATTCTCTCTCTCAAATAAATAAATAAAATCTTTAAAAAGAAAGAAAAAAAAGAAGAAGAGCATGTGACTCTTGACCTCGGGGTCATGAGTTCAAGCCCCACATTGGGTATAGAGCTTATAAATAAATAAATTTTAAAAAATTTTTTTAAAGAATAAAGAAGTAGCTTAAGTAACATACATAGGGTATTTACTAGGTTAGGCATTGGGCCAAATGCTTTATATGCATTATTATCTCACAGCAACCTAACAAGTGTATCTGTTATTTTCCTATTTTAAAAGATGAGGAGGGGTGCCTGAGTGGCTCAGTCATTAAGCGTCTGCCTTCAGCTCAGGTCATGATCCCAGGGTCCTGGGATCGAGCCCCACATCGGGCTCCCTGCTCCGCGGGAAGCCTGCTTCTCCCTCTCCCACTCCCCCTGCTTGTGTTCCCTCTTCTGCTATCTCTCTCTGTCAAATAAATAAAGAAAATCTTTAAAAAAAAAAAGATGAGGAAAAATGGCTCAGGGAAGTCACATTACTTGTCCAGGATCACACAGCTAGTAAGTGACATACCCAGGATTCAAACCCAAATCTGCCTGACTCTAGATGCAATACTCTTAACCACTAGATAAGATTAAAGAGTGACAAACAACATACTTACAAAAGTGCCTCCCCATGGCCTTGGCCTTAGATGGCATCAGGGGCAAATGGCAAGAAAAGTGTCAGCCTGAGCCAGACAATTCACTGCATAGCTCAGGCCTCACCACCTGGTGTCATTCACAGCTGACAGCTGAACAGAAAGGCTGAACATACAAATTGTCTCAGGTGGCAGGAAAGGACAGGGAAGCAGCGGGGTGGGGGTGCGAGCATAGAGGTGTAAGTCATAGACACCTCTTGGGCCACATCTGTCTCTGGGGACACCATATTCATGTTGGACAAAGGTCCAGACTAAATGTGACCACTTCCTCATTCTGGGATTCATGTCCTGCCACAGCACACCAGATCTCCTCAAAGGTGCCCTTTGGTATAAATGTGATTTGTGTTTACCCCATAAGGGCAGAGCCATTGGGTCTATTCTAGCATTTTCTTCAGGGGCAGCCAAAACAACTCATTGCCTCACTACAACACCCCCTTCAAACCAGTTGCTCGGGAGAATTCCCAAGGACTTCAAGACATCCATGAACACTGAACTTGTGAAAGTGAGTCCCATTCTCCACACCTCTGGCCTCAGGAAACCAGGACAAGGACAGACATGGTGGCCAGAGGGCAGGTGAGGGCAGCAGAGAGCTGGCAGCGGAAGCTCAGGAGAGAGCTCTGAGTGCAGCTGGGAGAGAGCTCCAGGAGGAAGTGGGAGGAGCCCATGGAGAACCACCATCTGCCAAGGAAATCCCCTCCTCTGGGTTCACACAGAGGGCAGCTCAGGTTGAAGCTCAGATGCTAGGGGAGCTCACTGGGAAGTCAGCCTGAAGGAAAAGGGGAAGCAGAAAGATGCCAGAGACAACAACCCTGAGAGTCAAGAAGAGGGCCCAGAACATGCTAGAGGTCGCCAGCGTCCTGGAGTAGCTCTGAATACAGGCCAGCCCTGTTCTCGCCAGCCAGGAGAACAGAGAGGAATTTAGGCAAAAAAGCAGAGAAGAAAGCCTGCCTGGTTCATTTTATGAGGTCATCATAATCCTGATAACAAAACCTGTCAAGAACAGCATATACACAAAAAGAAACAATAGTGCCTCACTTTTAAATGTGGACAGAAAATTTTTGAGAAAATCTGAACAAACTGGATTAAAGGACATTAAAAAATCATCCACGGTAGCCAAACAGGGTTTATTTTAGCAATGTAGAAATCATTTGGCCTTTGGAAATGTATTACAATTATACAGTTCATCAATAAGAAAAGTAAATCACCCAAATCTGGATTCTGAAAAGCTTTTGCTAGAATTCTACATCCATTTCTGTTTTTTTTTAACCTTTAAACTTGTAGGAAGAGTAGGATAATCTCTTAACATAATGAAGAGCAGCAATGAAATTGAAATACTAGAGACTGCTCCATTAAAATCAGTAACCAAAAAAGGATGCTCAGTCTCACCATTATTAAATATTATTCTAGAAATTAAGGCAAAAACAAAAGGTGCTGAGGCGAAACTGTCATTATCTATCAATGCTACACCTTAGTTATCAATGCTATATGCTAAAATTCCAAGATAACTTCCAGAAATGAAACAATAGTTAAAAAGAGCTTTTTTTTTTTTTTAGGATTTTATTTATTTCTTTGAGAGAGGGAAACAGCACAAGCAAGGCAGGAGGGGAAGAGGCGAGGGGAGGGGCAGAGGGAGAGAGAGAAGCAGACTCCCCACTGAGTGGGAAGCCCGATGTGGGGCTCGATCTCAGGACCCAGGGATCATGACCTGAGCCGAAGGCAGACGCTCGACAGACTGAGCTACCCAGGCGTCCCTAAGTAGAGCTTTTTAAAAAGCACTCATAATAAAAGAAATGTGAGTTAAAATAATACACTATGTAAACTTTCTTAACCTCTAGAATGTTAACATTCAAAAAATTTGAAAACATGTCACTGATAAGGGTGTGGGTAAATAGGTACCCTCATACATTGCTGATGGTATTATATATTGCTACAACCCCTATGGAGAGCAATGTGATCATACTTAAAAATTATAAGTGCACATGCCTTTTAATCCAGAAATTCTTTTTCTAGGAATTTATCCTGCAGATATCCTTGTATATATGTAAAAAAATGTGTGGCAATGTTACTCTTATTTATTGTTATCACATAAGAAAATGGAAAGAAATCTATCAATAGGAAATTGTTCAGTAAATTATGGTATCCACTCAATGGTATATTATGCAGCTGTAAAAAATGATAAGGAAGTTCTACAACCTGAAATGGAATGAATTCCAAGATAAAGTGTGTTTTTGTTTGTTTGTTTTTAAAGATTTTATTTATTTATTTATTTGAGAGAGAGCATGAGCAGGGGCAGGGTTAAAGGAGAGGGAAAAGCAGACTCCCTGCTGAGCAGGGAACCTGATGCTGGGCTCAGTCCTGGGACTCTTGAATCATGACCTGAGCCAAAGGCAGAAGGCTTAACCGGCTGAGCCACCCAGGCGCCCCCCCAAGATGCAATAAGTGAAAATGCAAAGTACATAAGACTGTGCATAGTTTGCAACCAATTGTGTGTATATGTATATTTTTAAGCACGAAAAATTATATTTACATATTTACTAATCTATGCGTAAAATATCTATGAATAAATGCACAAAAACAACAACAAAAACCTAGCAATTGGTGCACCTGGATGGCACAGTCAATTGGGCGATGGCCTCTTGTTTTCTGCTGAGGTCATGATCTCAAGGTCATGAGATCCAGCCAGGGGTGGGACTCTGAGCTCAGCACAGAGTCGGCTTGGGTTTCTCTCTCCCCCTCTCTCTGTCCCTCCCCCTGCTCTCTCTCTCTCTCAAATAAATAAATAAACTTTTAAGAACAAAACAAAAAAAACCAGGGGCACCTGGGTGGCTCAGTCGTTAAGCGTCTGCCTTCAGCTCAGGTCATGATCCCAGAGTCTTGGGATCCAGTCCTGCATCGGGCTCCCTGCTGAGCGGGAAGCCTGCTTCTCCCTCTCCCACCCCCCCTGCTTGTGTTGCTGCTCTTGCTATTGCTCTCTCTGTCAAATAAATAAATAAGATCTTAAAAAAAAAGAAAACTAGCAACATTTATTGTATCTGTATACCCTTTTCTATGATTTGAGTTTTAAGCCAAGTAAATATATTACCTATTCATAAATACATTTAATATAAAGAAAGAAGAGCTGGGGGAAGTTTACAAGAAGAGTATTGAAGATTCTTTGTTTTGCCAGATAGAAAATATATTTTAATTACTATTATTAAACATTACAAAACTTCGTAACGGCGAAAGTACTGACAAACAGGAAAATTACTAATTTTGGATATGATAAAGGACACATCAGAAATTAATGGGGAGCTTTTCCGCCCTACCCCCTCCACGCCCCACCCCCTCCACCGCCCCACCTGCTCCAGTGCGGCCCTGGCTGCACGGCACTGGTTCAGAGGTCCTGGCTCCTGCTAAGCTAGCGCCGCCCTCCTCTCTCCAGCCGCTCTCGAGATCCTCCAGCGGGACCTCATCAGCCAGGAGATGTTCTCAGACAACTACAAGATCTGGGAGATTGTGTTCGGCGGTGCCTGGAGGTGGAGGGGAAAGTTGGTGAGTAGGACAGAGGGTAACACTGATAACCCGTTAGTTGGTGGAAATGCCTCTGCTGAAGGCTCCGAGGTTGAAAGTACTGAAAGCGCAGTCATCACTGCTGTTGATATTGTCCCGAACCATCCCTTCCAGGAAACCAGCTCCACTAAAGAAGCCTACAGGCACTACATCAAAGATGTAATCAATCAAAGGCAAACGTGAAGAATAGAGGCTTCTATGACGGGAACTGCAGAACACAACAAGCACAACCTCGCTGATTTCGAAAACTACCAGTTCTTTATGGGAGAGAACATGAATCTAGATGGCGTAGTTGCTCTGCTAGACTACCTTGAGGATGGAGTGACCCCATATATGATTTTCTTTCTTTTTTTTTTTAAGATGTATTTATTGATTTGAGAGAGAGAGAACAGGGTAGGGGGGCAGAGGGAAGAGGAGAGAGAGAACCTCAAGCGGACTCCCCACTGAGCGTGGGGCCTGAGGGGGGGTCCGATCCCACAATCCTGACACCATCACCTGAGCTAAAATCAAGAGTCCCACCATCACTTAAGGGACTCAGCCACCCACGCACCCCCCCATACATGATTTTCTTTAAGGATGGTTTAGAAATGGAAAAAATGTTAACAATTTGGACATTACTTTGGATGTATCACCTGTTGTCATAACTGACTGCTAGTCTTCGTCCACACAACACCAGGACTTAGACAAATGGGACTGATGTCATCTTCAGCTCTTCATTTATTTTGACCTTGATTTATTTGGAGCAAAAGGCATTTTGTTAAGAAAAAACATGTCACATAGGTTGTCTAAAAATAAAATGCATTTAAACTCATTTGAGAAAATGCCTCTTAGTTTCATACATTTTTAAATCCACCCTGGTAGTGTCCTGGAGAAGCTAGAGCCTGGTTGGAGACTGCTGCTAGAAAGCAGAAGACCTGCAGATAACTCCTGCAGTTAAAACTACTTCTGGGACTGGAATATAAAAAACAAGAACCAAAAATCTTAATTCTGAGTATATATAGTATATATCTTTTTCTATTTACTATTTTCTATAGTATATATCTTTTTCTATTTTTGACTGGAGTGTCTGACCATTTATGAGTACTTCTAAATGCATGGGCTTAAATTTATTATGTTGTTTTCTACTTGTCCCATTTGTTCTTTGTTGTCCCTTTTTTTGGTTTATTTTCCTCACATCTCTTTGAATACTTGATAGCTTTTTCAGTATTCCATTTTATCTTCACTTACTTGGAGTTTTTAAGCTACACTTACTTGGAGATTTGTTTGGTTTTTGCCTTTTGTTTTGTTTTATTTTTGGTTTTTTTGGTTTTTGCCTTTTGAGTTGTCTGGTTTTAAGTGGTTGCTTAACATAAATATATACATATTTATCCTATCACAGTCTACCTTCAAATAATATACTACTTCATGTATAACATCGATCTTACAACCATATGCTTCTATTTCCCCATCCGATCCCTTGTGTTATTGTGGTCAGACATTTTATTTCTATATATATTATAAGCACCATGATACAGTGTTATTATTTTTAAACAGTGAATTATCTTTTAATAAAATGTTAAAATGAGGGAAGATTATTTTCTAAAACCCAGGACCCTGGGATCATGACCTGAGCCAAAGGCAGACACTTAACCATCTGAGCCACCCAGGGGCCCCTATTTATTTATTTTTCTAAAGACTTTATTTATTTATTTGAGAGAGAGAGAGAGAGAGATGCCGGGCTCTATCCTGGGACTCCACGATCATATGACCGAAGGCAGAGGCTTAACCGACTGAGCCACTGAGGCGCCCCTAAGCCATTTTAAAGGACATTTTTCGTGGATAGAGAATTTTAGATTGACAGATGTTACTTTTAGTACTTTAAAGATGTTATTAAAAACAATGGCTTAGTTTTTTTTACCCTATCTTATCAATTTTTATTCCTCTGATAGAAATTTTCCAAAGTGTGGGGCCCTGTCTTTAAGTGGCACCCAGGTTACTCAGTTTCAAGAGTTCATGTTCGAAGAGGCTAGAGTGCCTTGTACCTTTAGGCCTTACCCTAAAGCCCTTTGTTCTCATCCTTGATTGGAGTGGGCAAGGTCCTTCCAGTTTTAGCAGCTGCTCTCAAATTGACCTTATGTACCTTGCATCATGTCTGATACTCTCTCATAATTGTTCAGGTCCATCAGATGCCCTGCGGTGTCCCTCTGCTCTCTCTTGCACAGATGCCCATAACACATCATGGTTGTCGGTGCTTGTAATTTGTCACTTAGTTTTGTTGTAAATGTCGTTGCTAGGTTTTTAATTTGGTTAACCAGTTGCTCTGTTTTCATACGATGATTCAAGAAGATTCAAGTCTATGCTGCCCCAATCCTGCCATCTTCCCAGGAATCTAACATGTATCATTTTTAAATCGGAGGAAAGGTAGGGAACCTTAGATATTCTGAAGTACCTTTTACGTTCTTTTTGGAATTTAACCACAGCAATAGGAAATTGTACAAAATAAATTGATTGACATGAGGAACAGCACGCAACACATTTGCACTAATAATGTATGTAGCATTTTGCATGCTTCTTTTTTATGGTTATTTATTATGTGTTTGGTACATAATCTTCACAGTGATCTTTTTTGTTTCAGAATATTCCATTGAGTAGAAGTACCAAAATTTACTCAGCCTGTCCCTTATTGTTGGCCATGTGAGCTGTTTCCATTTTTCTGCTGTCTCAGATAATGTTGTCATAAATACCTTTGTGCACTTAGATTTTTGTTTTGGTTGAATTATTTCCTTAGGATGGAATCCCAAGAGTAGGATTACTGGGTCAAGGGTAGGAACATCTCCCTGGGTCTGGCAATCTATAATCTGAAAATGTGTTTTGAGAGTTATTTTTCTTATTATAGGGGAAAGGTTAAGACTCAGTTGTTGATAGTAAGGATCACATGAGGGCAATAGGACTATTTCCCAGGATCGCTGTTATTCTATCCTTTCTCCCAGTCATCAGTCTTTCCTGTTCATTTTACTCAACTTTGATTTTTCATTCATTTAAGCGACATATGTTGATGGCCTACCATGTGTCAGACACTGTGATTTCTCTTCCCCACACTAGTGTGAATCCCACAAGTATGCAGAGTGTTCTGCTCAAGGACAGATCCAACACACATGATACAAAGGGGCCCAATCCAGGCATGCACTGGCCTAGATTCACTGTGAGCATGAAGGGTGCTATGGGCTGTCCTCATTTGACCCCTCCTGACATATCTGAGACTGTTCAAAGAACCCTGGAATATCTGGCCTGGAGAGATCTGGTATCAGAAATCCAACTTCCTCCCAGGCAAGATTAACCTTATTCTAGGGCAGATTTGAACAGAAAGGGGAGGACCTAAGCAATTTCAATGCACTAGCTGGTATAGTTGCCCAGAAAGAATCTCGTTGTTTTTATCAAAAAACAAAAACAAACAAACAAAAACTAGGAAGCTAGAAATAACCCCATGGCCTCCTAGCCTCAACCTGTCAGCTATGTTGATTCAGTCCATACTGCTGCCTTTTTCAGCCTCAGTCCCCCTGAAGGGGGTGACTTTCCATTGCCCCCTGAAACTGAGTGTTGCCCTGAGCCCAAGTTCTCTCGTCTTGGGTTCTGGTTGTGGTTACAAGTCCCTGTCTGCTCTGGCTGACACCCTCCCACAGTGGGGCCAAACCCTGCTCTACAACTCCCAGACTCTGGCTGTGTTTGTGTGTTCCATGGCCTGAGTATTGAAAACCAAGATTCTGTGCCTGTCTCTACCTCATGCTCCACAGCTGCACCCTAACAGTGGATGGAGCCCTGCAGTCACAAGCCTTGCCCCAGCCTGGCTACAATTCACCAGAGCTTTCGAGCCCCTGCCAGGACCAGTTAACTCCTGGGGCCCATCCCATCTAGTCCACGTTGCTGAGGAGCCTGCATAACTTATGTTCAAGCCTGCTGAGTTAATAATCATCTTCCCAACCACCATGTTTTACAGGTGAGGAATCAAGTGCCAGAGAGTAAAAGTGACTTTGCAAAAGTGAAATAGCAAGTTTGTGTCAGATCTAGGCCTAGAGCTCAAGGTTTCTCATTCCTAACAGGAAACGAGTGGGTGGAATACCAGAGAAGAAATTTAGGAATAGATTCCAAAGCAGAAATCCAATTATAAGTCCTGAGGTCCCTGGGGGGTGGGGGGGTGGGGAGGAGAGAAGGCTCCAGGATTTGAGAATAAGATAGGTTCTAGTTTTCAGGAAAGGGGCATAAAGTCAGGAAGTATGAGCAGCAAAGTTGACTTTATGTGGAGCCCTAGACCATCAGGTCGGATCTATTAAATGCCTCTTGCATCTCTAGAATGTCCCAGGGACCTGGAACAGGGCTGGGCCTATACATGCAGGTCAGGGGGTCACATATATAGGCCAAATAAAAGGAAAAGGTAGAAAACTGAGGAAGGACATAGGAGCCAGAAACCAGGTTGGGCCTGACACATGTAGATGCTCAGGTAGCTCCCATGTCAGCTGGGACCTCTCTGCATCATGAGGGTTCGGCAACATCTGCTCCAAATACATATCACCATGGCCTATGGAAATCCCAAGCTTCCCTTAGGATTTTTGAAAATGCACATGACACATTTATTCTCACATCCTGATCCTCTCAGGAGTAATGTTCTTTGAGTACAGTCTTTGTTCAGGTCCAAATCAATCCAGGCACAAAATTTAGCCCTTTCATGGAAAAAAATTTTTTTCTTAAGATTTTATTTATTTGAGAGAGAGAGAGAGAGAGCACGCCGGGGAGGAGCAGAGGGAGAGGAACAAGCAGACTCCCCACTGAGCTCAGAGCCTGATGCGGGGCTCACTCCCACGACCCAGAGATCATGACCTGAGCCGAAATCAAGAGTCAGACGCTCAACTGACTAAGCCACCCAAGTGCCCCTCATGGAAAAAAAATTTTAAACACACCATGTATGAGATTGCTAGACTTTGCTGAAAATGTTGGGGGTGTCACAGGGAGGAGGTCCCATCACTCACTACACAACAGACAACCTAGAAATCCTCATTGTACATTCCTGCTAGCCTCAGTCCTTGTTAGCCAGCCCCTTATGATGGTGTCCTCTATTGGCCCCAACAATACATTTCACTGTACCTACCCTCACATAATCTTCTGGTTCCACTCTTTTCCTTCTCCCTTCTCTATCCTCTGTCTTTCCTCTCCCCTACCATCTCTCTAAAGTCAGAAACAAATTCCTTTCCTTATCTCAATGCAGAGAGGCTGGGGCAGGAGGTGAGGTCGGGGCACATTCTTACACCCCTACTGCTTCTTTACCAAACTCCCTTTTCAAACAAGTTACTTCCCTCCTATAGAGGAATTCTAGTGCCAGATAGTAAAGTGATTCAAATTTTTTTCCACCTGAATACACATGTGTAAACAAAAGTATGCAGAATTATTCTGATGCATAGTTCATGCCAGACCAAGCACTATAATTGTCCTATTCAAAATTGACTGAAAATAAAGTTTAGAACAACCTGTCTGATTCAGAAGTATGCCTTTGGCCATGAAAGCTCAGCTGAATCCCAGAAATCCTGGGAAAACTCGGTTTGTCTTATGCCCCTTGAAGGTATTTTATAAACAGCTGCTATAGGAAAGACACCCAAAGTGGGTGCCGCTTTTTTTTAGATAAGCCAAAAAGTAAGTCGTGCCTATAGCAACCAGAAAGTTTCAACGTTTTTCAAACCTGTGTGGACTCTCAGAGTATTTTCAGGTTACAGACTTAGGGCTGAAATATGATACCAATTTAGTTGCAAAAATTGTGTAATGGGTGGGTCAAACCAGGTGACCAGGTGATC